GGGCTTGAGAGAGCTGTAAAATGTGACCACAGCATATGCAGCACCAACACCTGTGCATTGTGTCATTTCACTGATCTGAGTACATCAATGTGAAAGTGAAAATGTGGTTTGTACTGAATTTCAGATGTCCTTGAAAATTGGACGACTTGCCTGCACTCACTGTGTAAAATCACATCTATTAAATGATTTTATGATACTAATCTACAGTCTTTGAGAGAACAAAATGTCACACATATAACGAACTATCAGTGAATTTGTTAATCAGTCAAATACAAATGAGGCTTTGAGATAACGCCAACTCCTTAACACGACACAGGCCTACTCAATCTCAAAAAAGTATTTCTTCTAAATGAAAAGATCTAATACAACATAAGATAACTGACTGCCCTCACACCTTGAATATACTAATCTATCCTTGAAGTAAAAACAACTTTTTAACTATGTCAAGAAATATTCTTCAATTTGCAGCCAGTCAGTCTTCCTTCATACACACAACCCACATGGAGGAACATACACATATCCTCAAAACACACAACATCCAGCTTCTATGATGCACAATGCCTCTCTCTCTCTCTCAGTTGGTAATTTGTTGAGATGTCATCAACCAAAACATCAACCTGAGTTTTCCAGGAAGACAGAGGCCTGCAGCCCAACACACAACATCCTCACCATCAATGTTAGTCTAAAGAAGTCCACACTGTTTGCCAGCACAGGCATACACAGAAAATCTGATGTGAATATCAACTGGCTGAACTGTGGAAACCTTTACCCATAAGAACCTGTTGCTATGCTTCTAAACTGAATTTAATCAGTGCAACTCAGTGATCTGTGAGGAAGCGTCGAAGCAGACAGCAACTTGCTCTGTGCACACTGGTGAGTCACATCTGTTGATGAGTTTGATTAATCGTGACCTCATGCTGCATTTTCAATCCAGATCACCTCTACTAAGCCTGCATTATCAGCTACACTGACTGGCACGGGCAGGACGCACGCTGAAACCACACACAGAGCACTGATCAGAGCCAAGCTCTTACACTCGTTGCTCAAAAACATCCAAACATGGCCACAAATAACGTTGCCTTACCTTAAGACTAGGGCTCTTTACTTTCTTCCTCTATGACATGGCGACGTTCAGTTCCATGGCACTGGAAAGACGGGATGTCCAGGATGACAACATTCCCCTTTAGACCGTGCCAATCTGGAAAGGAGCGCAAATAACTATGCGCGTACACAGGTGAATTCATTAGTATCCGTTTCAGCCCCGGGGCGTTTTGAAACTTGCTTCAACGTTTTTATGCCTCGACTTGATCATCGTGGTGCTTTAGTGAGGCTTTCTTCATTTGCTTGTCTACAAATGTCAGTTCATTTCTGTACTGTGGCCCGTTTTCATCAGCAGCGGTTTGGTTGTTAACGTCACATCCACAGTTTGGGCTTTTTTAAAGTCTGTTTCCACAACTCCTACAGCTAATCCGCATCTATCAGTCCTAAACCAATATTACAGGCCTACTCCACCTATGCACAGCAGGGCGCCATGGCAGTAAAGGTGCAGCCCAAAATGCGCGTCCTCCTTCTTGTTCATTGGCTCTATTGACAGGATACAGACCAACCTGAAGGTGCATGCCGCCACCTACTGTGTGCACCATTGTTATTCTACTGCGATTCTTGTGCTCGACCTGTCTCTTTTAAAATGATTTATGCCCCTTTATACCAGTGCTTGTTTGTCCCCTATCTCCAGCTGACCCTTAATGCTCAGTTCCCTCCCCATACCAAAGCTGTCCCCCTGTTCCTTAGAGTTTAACTTTCACTATCAAATCTCCTACAAACTAAAAAAAAAAAAAAAGTGTTCTGCTATAAAATTTGCTTCTCATTCATGTGTCAGGCAACATATTTGCTCCTGGTAGTGGACTGACATGCCTGCTTTACTTTGCCCCAGTACTTCAGACTGAATGAAGAACAATAAGGTTGTGCACATGAACAGTAACAGCTAAAAATCTGGAAGTGTACAGTATATTCCTTTATCAGATTGTATGTTGTGGCTGCCAGTGTGAGTGGGAGCCCTACGACGAGTGCACTGACGAAAATCAGAACAGCTTCCTTATAATGTAGAAATGTTCGTCTTAAACATTGAGACATATGGGTGGACATGCACATCAGGCACCCAAGCTGCACCCATCACAGTAGGTACATCTGTGCACACACAGCAGTGACAAGTAGAGTGAAATTATATAGTATAGTCAAAAATAACAGTGACAAACACAAAGACACACCAGTCCTCTGTAGCTCTCTGTATAATGTGGTTAAAAAAACTGTAAATAGTACAAATGTAAATTTGTACTCAGCAAACCTTTCTGACAGTTTTACTACAGCAACATGATGATACTTTGTGGCAAGATATTGACCTTTTACTTGGAATGTGAGAACTGTGATCATAGACTTGCAGATTGTTTGACATGACGTGGCATTTACAGCCTCTTGTGAGCAAGAATTACATAATTTAGAAAGTTAGAGAACTCTGTTACTGTTGTCAGTTGAGTTAGAAAAGCTTGCTGTGTACAAGATAGGCAGTGCAATGCATGACGGGCTGTGATATGTGCTATGTTTCAACATTAAATATTAGACAAAAAAAAAAGAATCCCCAAAGTTATTCAGCCCTGTTCTTAGCAAACCCAAACCTCAAACTAAAGCTGCTGGCAGCCCAGCAAGTGAGGCCCACTGGCTGCCCTGACGAATGGCACAACAGTTTCCGTTCTTTTGGCTAGCTGCTGCTGGGCCAGACGGCTTTACATTTGATCCAGACAACATCTGGCAACCTCACACATCCAGAGGGGTCTATTTCAATCTCCTCTGTCCCTTGGGTGTGGACACTGCCAGGTCCATAGCTCCCCCTCTCCTCCCCATCCTGAAGCCCAACTATGACCTGCTGCAGCTGGACTTTGGTGCGCTCAGTCCCCCGTGGCCAACTTCTAATCAAAAATAGCCACAGTTGGCAGACAGCACCCGCAGTTATGTTATTATGAGACAGCAGCAGACCTTTGGAGATCCTGTTGAGCAGTCAGTTATTTGGGGTGGGTCCCAGAACTCTGCTAAGAATGTTAAGTAGGAACGACTGTTTCCACAGATGTAAATGTTCACTGCACTGATAATACCTCCAACTCCTTGTGGATGACAATGATTCTGAAGCAATGTTGATGCTATTTTACATGATACCTTCCTTATATCCTTCTCAAAGACTATATATGTATAATCTGTGCATCAGACTCTACTATTATACAAAGTACACCAGTTTTTCCCAGTCATACCAAACATACTGTATATTAAAAGCCCCTTTTCTCCAGCATATTTTAATTCCTTCAGTATTTACAAACAACTGATATCAGAGAAATGTTATTATGATGTATGGTCTCGGCTCATCAGAAAAGCAAAGCAGACAATTATTTTGGTGTGATTTCATGTCTTACCCAAACCATTAATCATTTAGTTTGACTGCCAGCTGAGTAATTAACATTCTTCAGACAGACCTCAGCTACAGATACATCGCTAGTCTCCACCCAGCAGATCTGCAGCCACAGTGTCTTAGATGAAGTTCTAAACCAGCCAGTGCTTCACTCTGTATACATTTTATAAAATATTAGATTTATCATCCATGTTTCTGTCATGAGTTGAGAAGACTTTTAGAAGGTGTTGGTCTTTTTCTGATCGACATGAGCTTATGCAGTACTCTATGCACACATCTGGATTTGAACCATGCAACAAGTAGTGGATAACATCATTTCATTATATCACAATACTCTTGATCTTGACTCATTTCTTCCTCCCTTTTAAATCTTTCAGTATCAATCAGTTCTGAGCAGGTATGCATATAAATAAAATATGGCATTCTAAAACTATTTTGGCCCAATGATTTTTTTTTTCTGGAAAGAATGTTTGGATTAGACTAATGCATACTGTTCATAACATTAGATATTATTTTTGAATGTACAGTAAAAAGGGTCTCTTATAGCCTTTTGTGGCTTCACTGCTCATCATCGAGCTTAGATTTACAGTATATAGGCTACATACTGTACAGAAAAACACAGTATCTGATGATAGTACACGAGGCAATAAAGTACATGACACACCAGAAACACATAAACAACTGAAACAGGACATTACATCACCTTCTTCCTGTCTCGCTTGAACACTCAACAGAAGCTACTCTTACCTTAGAGGTTAATTCATTTTCATTTGCTTAATTTAAAGTTGGGGTTTGTGTTTGTTATAACGAAGCTGAAAACAAAGCCAGCAGTTTCTCCTGAGGCTGTGCTCAGCGTTCCTCATATACCCCTCCCAACACTGGCTAGTTATTAAAATAAAAAAGCAATAAAACTCTCTCAGGGGTTAATAATATTCATCATTGTTGTGCTAAGGGGCCTGTCTGTGTGCTGAGTGTATTTAATATTAGTCAGCAATTGAAGTATGGAGAAAAGGGTCACCGGAAGACTAGCTGTATTCTGAGCAGTTTAATCATTACAAGTGAGAACTATTTAGTAGATTATTGAAATTTCTACAGTATAACATACACACAAACATGGACTCCTAGTCTCCTAGACCGGGCACTGATGAGGAACCATGTGGTGCTTGTGGGCGACCATTCCCTATGGCAGCATGTGGATTACATAATGGCAACCTGTGAGCCATCTTGTTTGTTTTCATTTACAGAGAAGTCATTAAGAGCTGTGCGTTAGGCCAGAGACTGTGAATCGGACCTTATTGCTCTTCCACATGATGCAGCGCTTAGAGCCTTGAGAGCAATGTAACATATTGTTCAAAACAAAGAGCGAGCACTTTAGAATGTAAAGAACGACTCTGTCTAACAGGACTGCAGACCTTGAGGCATATTCATAAGAGTTTACCTGATAATACTGTAGGTATAAGAGCAAATCACCACAAGGGCATGCAAGCTCTGTTTCAATGCCAAGTGGCTGGGAGAACAAGTAAATGTACTAGTGGTCCATTTCACACCAAGTCTGAAGACACCGTCATGTGTCACATCATCCAATATCAAGGCTTAAGTCCTGTCAGTGCTCAGGAGAAGTCAACATGTCTCCAGCAACCTTTCCTTCCCATGTTCCTACCCAAGGTGAGCACTTCAAGAGACTGATAACTTTCCCAAGACAGACAGAGATTAAGTTCTTTACAATTTGAACTGGATGATTCTCTTGACTGCCTCTGCTCAATGCCATACTCCACATCAAAGGAGTTGGCAGGCTTTTGAACACAGTCAATCAGTCCTTTTTCTGTATTTTTTGGAAGGCAGCCGTTCTACATTCAGCATTACTGGTGCATATAAGGCCAATAATGACGTCCATGTGGAGAAATAATGATCTAATTTCACTTGGATATGTCAATTAGCACTGCAATTGAAGGGAGCAAAGATTAGCTTTTCAGAGTAGCTACTACAGAGTACATGCACACTCAAAACTCAGTATTTAAAAAAACTACTAAATCTACTGCAAACCAATACTGAATCCAGCTACCTTGTAGCAGCATCTCTGGCATTTAATTTTAGCAAATGGACGTTTACAAAAAGTAAATATATAATATCTAAAGCAACCAAGGTGAAAGCAGGCTGCAAAACTGATTCCACAGCAGTCGGGATACTGTGCCAAACAACAAGAAAAACAAGAAAACAAATACAAGCTCAGCCATAAGTAATTAATTTACAACTAATACCAACAAAATACATAAGTAGACAGTTTTAGAGCAGAGATTAGCTGCTAGCAGATGCCAAGACGCTGCCTACAAGCATAACAGCAGCAGACCAAAAAAAGCAGCCAGCCACATATTGCCAAGCACGCGAACACAGACTGAACCAGCTCACTGTATTCTTCTGGCTTGAAGTGGTGTTGGAGGCTGGCAGCTGATATGACGAACGAAGGAGTAGCTGATTAATGGCAACAGCAGCTGGGAGTGTGTCATAAACGTGATTATTCCCCTGCAAAGTCATCATGAGGTTGCATTACTGTTGGCAGGCAAGGCTGCTTTTGAAATGCTACATGAGCAACAGTAAAGATAAGTGGTGTGGTACCACAGAGTTAGCGATGGAGCCCCATGGCAGCGCACAACAGTGAGCAAGAAAAACAGTTTAAAAGAACAGACTTAACGCAAAGGGTGCGATGGATGTGCAGCATCGTTACAGTGAATAGAGTATGTTGTTTCTTAATGCATCTTCCTTTAATGCCAAGATTCCTAGTTTGTCCTCCCTTTGTGTCTGCACTCGCCTATTGATACGACTTGCAAGGGACTTCCATATAGAATGGAGACTTTTATAGCTTTAATACTATTTTAAAACAGTTGATTAACATGGGCTTTGTTTCTATTTGTAATTTACTTATGAGCACTACAGCAACATTTTTATTCTCTTCATCTTTTTTTCAAAGTTCATAGGAACAACAATACTTAGATGGTCAGATATTCACCTTTACTAAATATAACCCATACACTAAGAGACAAACTTCAAGAATTGTGTTTTCATAATCTATTATTTAATGCTTTGTCTTTTCTTGCTTTTTTATTCATAATGTTCATCACTGCAACTAAGGTTTAGCGCCTGAAGAGCCACTTCATTACAAACTGCTACGACAGGGCTTTGGTTCAGTTTCGAGGACTTTGAACGAGAGAACATCTGACACTTTTTAAATTTATTTCTGTGCATGTGTCAGTGCATTTGTCAAAGTGAGTTTAGATGTGTGTGTTTCCATCATGATTTTGTTTGATGTTTTCTTCTTTTGCTGTGTCTGTGCATGTGCGTGCATACACATCATTAGGAAACGTGACTGAGGTGTGCGACAGCCTGTATTGCAAAATCTGACTCACAGATTTCACATTTATTCTTGCTTCTCTGCCTTTTGTGTCTCGCTTGCTTTCACATACATGGGTTCATGTGCACTGTGTGTGGCCTTGTGTAAAATGGATGTGTGTTGTCCTTGCTTGTGTGGGAGTCAGCTGGGCCATGGCAGCTCAGTTGGGTTCTGATTCACTGGAGCGTTGGCCATAAGCAGGTAACCAGCAGCAGGTGGCAAGGATGGAGGGATGAGACATGGAGGCTCGGTGAGTACACAGGAAGAGATGCTCAGCATTATTGGACACTGTGACTAGCTGAGTGATCAAACAGCCATGGGACTGTGTCATGCTGGGTGAGCATGGCTCCGCATGTTCCTCACTGTAATGTATCCACTGCACTCACATCACGCTCAGCAGGTGGATCTCCAGAGCACTGAAATACAAGATGGTGAGCAAGAGTATGTACACAGGGTGATTTATGGTGTTTATTCATGCTCCTTAAGGTTATTAATTTGCCCAAAAAGCATTACTATGAGTAAGAGCTGGTGATGAGAGCTGCTAGGGCCTGTTAGAGCCTACATCTATATGAATTGAATCATAATTTCACTGTAAATTTGTACTTCCATAAACCTTTATATACTATCTCTATATAATATATACAGTCGGGTGGCACATTAGTGATGCCCATCTACAAGTTTGAATGAACCCAATGACAGGAATTGACACAACAGTCCTGTGATAAATGAAACAGTGTTCAAAAGTGTAGTTGATTTTGTTGCAGTGTATAGTGAACTTTCTAATACTTTTGCTCACGTTGCAAAGCAGTCCAATAAAATAGCACCACATACATCCTCAAAACAAAAGTGGATAGATAGTAGTAACTGAGTCATCAAACCCCAAACATTCTAAACGAGGTAGCTGTTACTGTACAGCATACAACAGTGTTTGTATTTTTCTGGACACTCGGTGTAAATGAACGTCTCTGTTTGTGTGGACAGAATTCTGACTGGTTTGTGTAAAGTGCTAAGCAAAGCGACTTAGTTCTGATCTATATTCATTTAGATGGGAAACTCATCTTAGGATAAGAGTTCAATCCCTGCCGTTTTCTTAACCCTCGCTGAAGGCGCTTAAAAAAGTAAAGTTACTTCACCCCAGCGTTCACCAGTTGCAACATGAAAGGGAAATAACTTTATCCCATCAACTTTGAAGTTAAAGTTGTCATCTCTGCTCAGTCTTCTGTACTCCCACTTCACCTCTGCAAGCTCCATGCTCAGTGAGGAGGGGAGGACCAGGGAGGAGATAAGGTTGCCATGGTGATCTTCTGTCTCCCCCCCCCCCCTTTTTCCCCGGGGCCCCTCCAATTTGGAAAACTCATTT